TTGTTGATTTCCCCCCAAAGGCCAAAAAAAGAAGTGCTTTTATTTACTCGCGGCGACAACACTGTTTAGAGGGCACGAGGTTCGGCTTCCGCCCTTTTTCCGAGAGCAAACGCGAACGAAAACACGGATTTTTCATATTTTGGTATCGAATTTCCGAGCCCTTTTCTCGAGATTTAATGGATTGCCCGGCCCCTAAATTGGCCATAGATTGATGAGTGCTGACTAGACGAGTGGAATGGACTTTGAACGGGGCTGGGGGATTTGTGGTTTATCTTTTTTCGGGGGATTTTGAGGAAATTTCGGGATTTTTAGGGAAATTTTGGGAAAATGTTGTAAAATACGAATAATTATAACATCTGTTTAATTCGTAAGTCTTGTCAAAGACTTGTGAAGTATTACAAGTGTTTTAAAACTAAATTTCACAATCGATATTTCCCATTTACCTTGTTTTAGACCTTTAATCATCAAAAAAGTAGATTTTTTGCGGAAAAATTGAATTTCATAAAAAATTTGTAAAATACGATAGGTGACGAAGCTTGTATCTTAATCTACAAACTATTTATTTCATTTTGAAACAATAATTTTGCCAGTTTAGCCTCATTTCCCCCCTAAAATCATCAAATTTTCTATTTTTACCCCTCAAAAATAATGTTTTTGGTATTTTTATGGTCGTAAACTAATTTTTGCGCCGTAAAAAGTGATTATAATAGGATTGGATGCCCTTTTCTTTAATTACCATGTACCTTTGAAATTAAAAATCAAATTTTTCCGCTAAAATCATCAAATTTTCCATTTTTACCCCTCCAAAACAATGTTTTTGGTATTTTTATACTTTCAACCTAATTTCTATATTGTAAAAAGTAATTCTACTACTATTCAAAGTCTCCTTTTTAAATTTTCATTGCTTTTTCGTATCAAAAATCAAATTTTTCGCCCTAAAATCATCAAATTTTCTATTTTTACCCCTCTAAAACAATGTCTTTGGTATTTTTATACTTTCAACCTAATTTCTATATTGTAAAAAGTAATTCCACTACTGTTTAAGGTTTCGTTTTCTAATTACAATGTACTTTACAATTCAAAAATAAAAAATTCCCCCTAAAATCTTCAAATTTTCAATTTTTTCCCCTCTAAAACAATATTTTTGGTATTTTTACACTTTCGACCTAATTTTTATATTGTAAAAATTAACTATAATAGAAGGTTATGTTCTATTTTTACATTTCCATTGTTTTTTCATATCAAAAATCAATTTTTTTACCCTAAAATCATCAAATTTTCTATTTTTACCCCTCCCAAAGCAATGTTTCTAATATTTTTATGTTTTTAAATTACTTTTCCAGCTTTAAAAAGTAATTAACTAGTCTCTTTTTTTTAAATTTTCATTTCAAAAATCAAATTTTTCGCCCTAAAATCATCAAATTTTCTATTTTTACCCCTCTAAAACAATATTTTTAATTATTTTTGTACCTTTATACTATTTTTCTACTGTAAAAAGTAATTCTACTACTATTTACTATTTCCTTTTTACATTTTAATTGCTTTTTCGTATCAAAAATTCAATTTTTCGCCCTAAAATCATCAAATTTTCTATTTTTACCCCGCCCAAAACAATGTTTTCTCGATTTCCCCTTGGCAAAACCCCTCGGGCAGTGGGAATCGGCGGCCCGCAAATCCGCGAAATCCCGTAATGCACTTTTCTGTTTGTGTGAATGTGGCCGGGGGAAGCGGCGGCGGACAAGCGTTTCGTGTGTGGAAAGAGCGGGATCACGTGTGATAAGCGGCCGTTTTATGATGCCCTCAGGCATTCCGCAGGGCAATTGTCTTGTCCCGGGCCCGCTGATTAGCGGGTTGTGATGTTTATTCGGTTTATTTGCACATTTTTGATCAAAAAATTCGAGATTTTTTTCGGGATTTTTTGAAAATTTTTTGGTAAAAAGCTATCGTATCTTAAAGTTTTAACATTTTTAAAGTGATTTTATCAAGTTTAGAGGTCTTGACAATAATATTATGTCGTATTTTAACTATGAAATGGCTTATTTTTCAATAAAATCATCATTTTTTGCCTAAAGTAATATAAAAATTTTGGATTTTTGTCGTTTTGTCGACAAATTCAACAACTGTATTATATCCTTTAGCGTATTTTGCCTTTTGAAAGCTTAATTTGACAAATACTTATTTGATTTTCCACCAAAATCATAGTTTTTGCATAAATTAATATAAAAATTTCAAAATTTTTGCATTTTCTCTCAAAAAATGGATAAATTAGATGTTCGTTTGAGTTGGAAATTCCATTTCTCTCCGTATTTTACCCTGGCACAACTTACTTTGCCAAGTTCTTACTTGATTTTTCAACTAAAATCATCATTTTTCACTTAAATTAATATAAAAATTTAAAAATTCTCCTAAAAACCGTTTAAATAGTTGTATGTTTTGAGAAAAGCATTAAATGTAGTACAGTATTTTACCTTTTGACTGTTTTATTTGCCAACAATTGATTTGATTTTTCATTAAAATCATCATTTTTTAGCAAAATTAACATAAAAATTTCAAAATTTTTGCATTTTCTCTCAAAAAATCGTTGAATTTGGCATCCACTTGGTAATCAAATCGGATTTCTTGTCGTATTTTACCCCTATACACCAAAAATCCCCCATTATTCTCCTTTTTTCCACTAAAATCATAATTTTTCCCCTAAATTATAGTATAAAAATTTCAAATTTTTTGCTTTTTCTTTCAAAATATCGTTGAACTTGGCATCGTAATGGCTATGAAGTTAAATTTCCAGCCGTATTTTACCTTTATACACCAAAAATCCCTCTTTATTCTACTATTTTCCACCAAAATCATCATTTTTTAACAAAATTTATATAAAAATTTTAAAATTTCCCCATTTTCTTTCAAAATATCGTTAAATTTGACATTCTCTTGATTATGACATTAAATTTCCAGCCTTATGTTACCCCTATACACCAAAAATCCCTCTTTATTCTCCTTTTTTCCACCAAAATCATCATTTTTTAACTAAATTGATATTAAAATTTGCAAAATTTTTGCATTTTCTCCTAAAAAATCGAGGAATTTGACGTTCTTTTGATCTGCCCATTAAAAGTCATGTCGTATTTTACATGTTGACATCATGATTTACCAAGAATTCGTTTGATTTTTCATCTATTATCATCATTTTTCGCCCAAATTAATATAAAAAATTCAAAATTTTTGCATTTTCTCCCAAAAAATCGTTGAATTTGGCATCCACTTGGTGATAGCATTGAATTTCCAGCCTTATTTTACCTATATACACCAAAAATCCCCCATTATTCTCCTTTTTTCCACTAAAATCATCATTTTTCCCCTAAATTAATACAAATTTGCTGCAAATCTCCACTGTTCTCCCAAAATTCCACTCTCCAGTTCCATGCCCGAAGCAACCAAGAACCACACTTTTTACGGTCTCAACTTGTCCGGCCGCCTGTTTATTACCACATTTTACGGGTGTTTTTCGCGCCACATGCCGCCGTTTGTTTGTCATAATTGGGGCACGTAAAGAGGGCCGGTTTGCGTCGAATGCCCCGGGGGCCGGGCCGTGATTTCACTCGTTATGAGTCGAGGGATTAAATGTGCGTCAATTTGGAGGCAATTTACATCCATTCGGAGGGGAGAATTTATATTACTTTAGGTGGAAAAATCGCAATTTTTTGATGATTTTGGATAAAAAATTTTCAAAAAAGATTTCTTTCGCGTATTTTACAAAATTTCCTTCTCTCTACTATCTTCCCTTGTCCGATTTTACCCAATTTTTTGAACTTTTTTATATTACACTTGATATCTATATCAAATTTTAAGCTGAGAATCCAGCCATTTTGCGTATTTTACCCCTCTTTTTCTTTACTCTATCATAAAACATCAAAATCGGCATAAATTCCCCTTTTATCCCATCAAAAATCAAGAATTTTCATCAATTTTAGATATTAAACTTGATTTTTAGCCCAAGTTTGGTATTTAATTTGCTTTAAAATTATTAATATTCAATTTTCTTGCTATTATAAGGTTAATTTTTAATTTAGAACACTAAATTTGCGGACTTTTCAAAAAAAATTATATTGTAGTAGGCAAAAAGTTCAAAATTTGACCTAAAATTGATGGAAACTCGGGGTTTTAATATTTTTAAAATTAATTTTTGTTAATTTTACACTACTATTAATCCAGAGACACCATAATTTCCGCCATTTTCAATTTTTTTTTGATTTTTTTAGGTATGAAAGTTCTAATTTTGGGCGTAAAACTTGTAATTACCCGTGTTTTGACCTTTTTAAATTGAGTTTAACCCTTCTTAGGCTATTATTCTTCAAACTAGACCATAAATTCGTAATTTTTCGCAAAAAATTATATTGTACTAGGCAAAAAACATGAATTTCAGCCTAAAACTGATGGAATTTCGCTGTTTTTTCTGTTGTAAATTAATTTTAATACCTTTTAAGCTATATTTACTCCTATCAGACTATAAATCTCTCATTTTTCAACAAAAAATTATATTATTTTAGGTATAAAAGATGAATTTTAGCCTAAAACTGATGGAATTTCGTTATTTTTTCTGTTGTAAATTACTTTTAACACCTTTTAGGCTATTTTAACTCCTGTTAGACTATAAATCCACCATTTTTCTAAAAAAATTATATTATTTTAGGTATAAAATTCTCAAATTCCTCAAAAATCCTCGCTCATTTGGGCCAAAACTCTTCCTTTAGCCTCGAGTATCATATTCATCGCATTAGAGGCCCTCATCTCGCCGAATTTTCACGGAAAACACGTCATTTCGCGGCTAATTGCGCCCATTTTGGGTCTCAAATTTCGAGATTTCCCGTCCCATCTTACCGCTCATTGCAGGCCCTGCAGACATTTGGCTCCCCCCGCTCCCGAATGAAAGCGTCGGCACCGTGAAAGATCGAGCAGAACGGGACGCCACGGCGTCCGAACTTACCTTACACTAGACCGGCGGAATGCGCTTCTTTTGCATCCCGCTGTTCGCCTGCAACACGCAGGTGGACTCGTTGGACAAGCGGCAATGCAACCTGCAGTCGGTCCCCGGCGAAGTGGAGCGCTATGCGCGCAATCTGGAGGAGTTGTTGTTGGACATGAACCACATCAAGGAACTGCCAAAGGTGGGCAAGATAGAAGGTTTTTATAGATTTTTTTGAGAGTTTAGGGTAAAATACGACATGAGTGGGAGGAATGACGTCCTTTGGACCAGTTTGACCTTTTGTTTTGGGTCGTTTTCGACATTTTTACCTTATTTTAGGTAACAAAATTTTTAAAATGGATATTTTTGATGAATTTTTTGAGAGTTTAGGGTAAAATACATTATGAATGAGAGGAATAAAGTCCTTTGGACCAGTTTGACCTTTTGTTTTGGGTCGTTTTTGACATTTTTACCTTACTTTAGGTAACAAAATTTTTAAAACGGATATTTTTGATGGATTTTTTGAGAGTTTAGGGTAAAATACGACATTTGATCAAAGACTAGACCTCTTAGAATTATTTCCCTCTTAATTTTTGGCCCATTTCCGCCACTTTTACCTATTTTAGGTAACAAAATGTCTAAATTTGATGGTTCTCATGGATTTTTTGAGAGTTTGAGAGCTTAGGATAAAATACGACATGTGTGAGAGGAATAAAGCACTTTTGACCAGTTTGACCTTTTGTTTTGGGCCGTTTGCGACATTTTTACCTTATTTTAGGTAACAAAGTGTCTAAATTAGATGTTTTTGATGCCTTTTTTTGAGAGTTTAGGGTAATTTTCATTAGTTTAAGGTAAAGTACAGTATTTCTGAAAGGAATAAAGTCCTTCTGACTTGTCTAGCCTTTTATTTTGGGCTATTTTGACATTTTTACCTTATTTTAGGTAACAAAATTTTTAAAACGGATATTATTAATGGATTTTTTGAGAGTTTATGGTAAAATACGACATGAGCATGAGTGGAATGGGTTCCGGCCTTTTTTATTTACAGTCCGACCTTAATTTTCGTCCACCTTTTAGACCTTATTTTAGGTAACAAAATGCTTAAAACTGATGGTTTCGAGTTATATTTTGAGAGGTAAATTTCGTCAAAGCTAGGAATAATAGGCCCTGAATTTTATTTTAAAACCTGCGACATTAACTTTGGCCACGGTTTTGATTTTTCGACCTTATTTTAGGTAACAAAATGTCGAAATTTGATATTTTCTTAATTTTTTTGATAGCTTAGGACTTTTTTCAAACAATTTTAACTTGTTTTAGGTAATAAAATTTATAAAATTTTTGTATTACATTTTTTTTTTGTTTTTTGTTTCTAAATAACCCCATTTTCTTTTCAGTTCCTCTTCCGTTTGCCCAAATTACGCCGGCTTTGTCTGGGCGACAACGATCTTCACCGACTCCCACCTGATATTGGACATTTGGTTGGGCTTGTTGAACTCAATATCAGTCGGAATGGTGAGAATTTTTGTTTTTATTTTTTGGTTTTAAAAACAAGAATTTAAATGCAGTTCGTATTTTACCTTTTTTTGTGATTTTTTGTCTAAAAAATTCACAAAAAATCGTTTGAGTAATTTTATTCTGCATAACGCGGTCAAAAAATTTTTTTCTCAATTTTTGTTTTAAATTATTTTAATTTTTTGAGCGATTTTTTTTTCAATTTTTTCGAATTTTAAAAATATTTCTGCATAACGCGGTTGAATTTTTTAATTTTTTAAATTAAAATCTCAATTTTTGTTTTAAAATTTTTTTAAAATTTTTTTAAACTAAATTTTTCAAATTTTTTTTTAATTCTGCATAACGCGGTCGAAAAATAAAAAAAATATTTGTAGAAATTCACTGAACACAGCGTATTTTACCCAAATTTTTTTTATTTTGATTGCCAAATAAAAACTAATTATTTTAAAAAAACAAAAATTTTCCAGACATTTCCGACCTCCCCGAGGACCTCAAAAACTGCAAACAGTTGCTAATTCTGGACGTCTCGTCCAATCCAATCGCCCGATTACCCGACTCCATCACCATGGTGTCATCACTCACTCAACTATCATTAAATGACACGAGTCTGACTCGATTACCGGTGGATATTGGCCGATTGACGATGCTCCGATCGTTGGAAGCCCGCGAAAATCATCTGCGAACCTTGCCGGCGTCTGTCGCACATTTACAGCGACTACAGCGGCTGGACTTGGGACAGAATGAGCTGGACGAACTGGTAAGAAAAGTTTGGAAAGTTATTAGTTGGATGTCCGGAGCGAAAATTTTTGGGTTTTTGAAAATTTTGCGATTTTTTGGTACGATTTGAAAAAAAAATTTTTTTGGGATTTTTTGTTTTTTTTTGATTTTTTGAGCTCAAAATTTGGTTTTTGCTGCATAACGCGATTTAAATTTTTTTGTGATGACTTGTAAAACACCAAAAAAATGTGAAATAAAAAAAAATAATGTCTCGAAATAAAAATTTTTTTAATTTCTGCATAACGCGATTTAAATTTTTTTTGCTATCACTTAAAAACCCTTACAAACAATTTTTGGAAAATAAAAAAATAATAGAACTAAATTTTTTCGAAATTAAGAAAAATTTATTTTTTGCATAACGCGAATTTTTTGTTTTGAAAAAAGCGTAGAATTTTATAGTACGTCTAGTAAAAATTCAGTCATCCCATTTTCGATTTTTTTTTGAATCCTAATTTTTTGTTTTTTCATCTTTTTTTGACTCAAATCTTGGTTGTTTCTGCATAACGCGGTTTAAAAAATTTTCCACGCCTTCAAACGTCATTATTTTGATTTTTTTAAACTTTTAAAAAGCTTAATGAGAATTTGAAATTTTTTGAATTTTTTTGAAAATTTCGAATTTCTGCAAAACGCGATTTAAAAAAAAATCTTAAAAATGAAAATTTTTTTTTTTTCAAAAAAAAGCTGAAATTCGCAAATTCTAAAAAAAAATGTTTTCCAGCCCGCCGAAATCGGCGCTCTCCGTTCGCTGCAAGAGTTTTACGCCGACGAAAACTCGTTGGAAACGCTGCCGGAGCAAATTTTGAACTGCAAAAACCTCGAACAAATCGACATCTCGACCAATCGAATCATCGAACTGCCCAATGAGATTGGAGAGTTGGACAAATTGACGGATCTGATCCTGTCGAACAATTGCATCAGCAATTTGCCCAATTCGATCGGTCGCCTCAGGCGATTGAGCATCTTGAAAATGGACAACAACAATTTGACGAAGCTCACACCGGCCATTGGCAGCTGTAGCGCGTTGACGGAGGTGTACTTGACCAGCAATTTGTTGTCGGAACTGCCCAGTACGATCGGGAATTTGGTCAATTTGAGCACCTTGAACTTGGATAAGAACCAATTGACCTCGATTCCGTCGCTGGTAAGCGAAATTTTTGGGTTTAAATCGGCTAAAAATTAAATTTGAACACTATCTGGCCAGGTTTTATCATCAGAAAAGTTGTCGGACGAAATGTCAAAAAGTGACATTTCGTTATTGGATTTTGACATTTCGTCGGTTTTCACTAAAAATGAGATTTTATGGCCTTTTTGATTATTGAAAATTTATTTCTGGCCTTTTTTACAATTTTTATTTTGTGACATTTCGTTATTGATTTTTTGAAATTTTGAAAAATTGGAGAATTTATGGTTGAATTTGGTATTTTAGGAAAGTTTACGATGAATTTTAATATTTCCAATTTTTTTTACCCAGCCATTAACTGATTTTTTCGCAGTTTTTATAATTTTTTTGACTGCACGGTGCGAAAAATTTAAAATTGTAAAATTCAGCGCGATTTTTTTTGCTGTTGAATTCAGCATTGGGTAAAATACGAACGAACAGTCCTTTTTTTAAATTAAAATCAGTTTCGATACTAAAAATTGAAAGCAAATTTCCGAAAAGAAAAAATAAATTTTTTTGCACAGTGCGGAAAATAAAAAATTGCAAAATTCGGCGGATTTTTTTTGTTTTTGAATTCATCACAGTGTAAAATACGTAGGGCAGTCCTTTTATAATTATTAAAATCAATTTCGATGCTAAAAATTCAAAAAAATTTTCCAAATTAAAAAAATAAAATTTTTTGCACTGTGCGGAAAAAAATATTTTTGCACGGTGCAAAAAATTTTTTTGGCGTAAATATTTAGAACAGGCATTTTACAGTAATTTTTAAGGCTATTTTCCCAATTTTAGATCGGGAACTGCCAACAACTCACGTTGCTTTCGCTCCGAGACAATCAAATCGCTCAATTGCCAATGGAAATCGGGAAATTGGCCAAACTACGGGTGTTGGATGTGGTCAACAACAAACTGGAGAGCCTACCCTACACTGTCAACGTTCTCTACGAGTTGCAGGCACTCTGGTTGTCGGAGAACCAGTCGCAGGCCATGCTGAAATTGCAGCCCGAAAGGGACCCGGCGACTGGAATCAACGTCCTAACTTGCTATTTGCTACCTCAACAAGGCGCTAGTCACTTCAATGGTAGGTTGGAGGGGTTCTGGGGTCTTTGGGGGGATTTTGGGGGAGTTTGGGTTACTGTATTTTTAAAAAATTTTTTGAATTTTTTTCGCGAATTTTGAAAAATTTTGGGGGAAAAATTAGGATTTTTTATATCAGTAGTAATTTGTAGGAGCTGTGGAGTGGTATTAAAAAATTTGGGACCGTTTGGGTTACTGTAATTTTTCTTATTTTTTTGGGTTTTTTTGCGAATTTTGAAAAAATTTAGGGGAAAAATTGGGATTTTTTATGTCACTAGTACTTTGTAGGAGCTGTGGAGTGATTTTAAAGATTTTTAGAGCACTTGGGACACTGTAATTTTTATCTTTTTTTATTTTTTTGCGAATTTTGAAAAATTTTTTGGTGAAAAATTGCGATTTTTTATGTCAATAGTACTTTGTAGGAGCTGTGTAGTGATATAAAAAATTTTGAGAGCGTTTGGGTTACTGTAATTTTTTTTTATTTTTTTTTATTTTTTTGCGAATTTTGAAAAATTTTAGGTGCAAAATTGAGATTTTTTATATTAGTAATGCTCTATGAGAGCTTAGAGTGATATAAAAAATTTTTGGGAGCCTTTGGGTTACTGTATTTTTAATTATTTTAAATTTTTTTTGTGATTTTTGAAAAATTCTGGCCGAAAAGTAAATTGGGATTTTTTTATATCAATAGTACTTTCTGGGAGGTATGGAGTGATTTAGAAATCTTTTTGGAGTACTTGGGTTACTGTATTTTCTATTATTTTTTTTATTTTCATACTGTATTCCCCCCAAATACGATCCGTTCAAGGAGATCTTGAAGCCAATTAAGTGGTGCCAAGAATAAATTTTTTTGTTCAGAACAGCCCATTGTCTAACCCATTGTTAGTCCTTGTTTACATGCCCTCGGGGCAAAGAACAGTGTTTGTTTAATGGGCAATAAAATGCGATTTTTTATATCCCAAAAAATCTTGTTTTTATTAGTTATTTTTTTTCATTTGCGCCGTAGAGGGCTTGTAGCTTCTTGGAAAACTTTTTGGGTTACTGTAATTTTATTTTTTGAAAAAAATAAATTTTTTTTTTTTGAAATTTTTTCGCAAAATCTCCCAAATTTCTAATAAAAAATCGGTGTGATTTATTTTATTTGTGGCGTGGAGAAGTTTTGGCGTCTAGGAAAACCTTTGGGGTACTGTAATTATATTTTTTTAACTGTAATTTGAGATTTTTTCAAATTTTTTTGATTTTTTCCGCAAATTTCCAACAAAAAATCAAATTTTTCCCTGAAAATTCACTTTTCAAATCTTTCATTTATCTTGTTCTTGCCATTCGCATCATTCGTCATCTAATTTTCGCTAAATTTAGTCCTCCTTTGGCCTCTAAACCTCGCAGATACCAAATTAATTACCTTTTTTAAGCATTTTCTGTCACATGCCCTGGGGCATTTTCAAAAAAATTGCCTTTTTCTGAGCTCCCAATCCCCTGCGTTAAGCCCTTATCTAATTTCAGACAGTAACTCGAGCCAGCAGCGCAATTCGGCGGCGTTTTTGGGCGGCCCGAAAGTGCATTTCGGCGATCAGAAAGAAGAGGAGGACCCGCTGAAGGGCGCCTTCGAACGCCACAACACACCCCACCCCAAACCCCATCAGGCCATGAAGAACAGGACTCAGGTGGACGGGCACGTCATTCAGCACGAGGACGACGTAGGTTTTGATTTGAAATTTGGCGAATTTACCTGATTTTTCGAAAATTTTGGGCTTTTATTGTATAAAAGTTTAATTCAAAATGATAACAAAGTAGTTTAGAAATCTTTTGGAAGCTTTTCGAGTATTTTAAGAACGATTTTTTCTCAGAAAAATTGGGAAATTTTGTAGGACCCCTCAAGTGTAATATACAGATTGGCTTTATATGTTGTGGAAATGAAAGTAGCATTTTTAAAAGACATTTGGAAAAAATTTTGGAATGCGTTATGCAGAAATCGCCGAGTTATGACACATTTTGAATTGAAAAATTTCAAAAAAATCGGTGGTTTTTTTTATTTTTTTTGCTTTCTTGTTGCGAAATCTTTTTAAAAATTGATCTAGATTTTTTCTAGGAATTTTTTATTGCTAAATCGCGTTATGCAGAATTTTTCAGAAAATTTTCTGTATAACGCGATTTCAAAAATTTTTTTTGAAAAAGGGAAAATATTAAGTTTTATAAAGTTTTTGGGTAGTTTTAGTGTTAAAAAATCAAAAATAAATATAAAAAAAATGTTTCAAAAATCGTATTTTACCTTATTTTCCCTTTTTTCCCGATTTTTTTGCTCAAAATCCCAATTTTCGACATAAAACTACAATTAAAAAAGTTTAAATGTTTCCCCAAAATATTTGTTATACCCATTCTGCCCCATTCGTCGCTGAATCCCTCAAAAATCTCGGCTCGGCTTACCCATTTCCCCCCATTTTCAGCGTCGTCCATCCGTTGTGTCGCTAACGAAAAAAACCTCTGTGTCGGAGAAGTCGGATCAGCTCCCTTCGACCTCCCTACAACCCAAATCCTCACTTAAACACCCGCCGGTCCATAATCAGCCCGGCTCCGAGTCGCCGTCCTACATTTCGTCGGCCGCCGCCGCCACAAAGGTATGGATTTTTCCGGGTGGAAAAAAAGTGGAGAAAACGCACCGCTTGCCAACAAACCCCACGCCGATTTAACCCCAAAACAATCGCAAATCACTTCTCAAGACGAAAAAATTTTGATTTGAATTGAAATTTCGAAAAAATTTTTTTTGCACAGTGCAAAATTTTCGCCTATTTTGCACTAGATTTTCGCACTGTGCACGGAGAATTTTGAAATTTTTGATTTTACTAATATTTATTGCCGGTTTTTGTGAAAGTTTTGGATATTTTTTAGAAGGCCCTGAGGCGGATTTACACTCTCTAAATTTGTCTGATTTTTTGTTACCAGTAGTACTATTAAAAATCGAAATTTATAAAATTCGATTTGCACAGTGCAAAATTTTTTTGTCTTGAGTAGTACAGTAATCTCTCGGCTTGACAAACTGAATTTTCACACTGCCACGCTCAGCTCATGCCTGGCTTAATCAAGGGAGCGGGATTTTTTGGGATGGGTAAGAGGGGGAAATGGAAAAAAGTTACAGTAACCCGTTATTTAGCAATGAAATTTTTGGTTTTTTCCTTAAAACTTGTAAGTTCTAGTCCTATGATCTTTTTTATGTCAAAATTCCCGAGGTTTTCCGGCGTTTTCGGCAAAAGTGACATTTTATACGATGAAACATGTTTTTTGGAAATTTTGCGGAATCTTATTGGCAATTGGAAAAAATCAGTTTTAGATAGGTTTGTTAGGTCAATTACTTAACAAGGATTCATTTTAAGACGAAGTTATATTACCTTTTATGGAGAAAATTAAAATTTTCGTCAAAAAGACCGAAAATGAGGTGGTTTTCCGAAGAAATCATGCCATTTTCCCGATAAAACACATAAATAAAATACCTACGCCCACTCCATGAGGCGCTCTAATCCCCATTTGCACCGCCTTACCCCTCGAAACTGCTTTTACTCTCGGTTCAGGGCCGGAACGTGGCGTTCGCGCTGCCGGCGGACGTCGAGCACGCGCAAGAGCTGGAGGAATGCCGTCTGAAGCGCGTGAACACGCCGCATTATGGGCGCGCCGCACGTCTCGCCCAACAACAGCAGCAGCAGCAACAACAGCAACAAAGTGGGAGTCCGTTCTCGTCGATGCATCGTGTGAATCCAACAGGTTGTCATGTTCAGGTACTGTCTGGTGTTGTTTCATCGTATTCTCGGGGACATCCCGCGGTCGAATTTTAGTGGTTCTTTTTTCGTAGTGGTCCACAAGGTCCTAGGTTCATTTAGGAACTCTTTTCGGGGTAGATTTTGCCCGAAAGTTGCGTTAATTTTGAGATTTTTTGAATTCGGGAGCTCCATATTCCACTTGATCTTTCATGGACAATATCAGATGTCTGGTTTGACCGAAATTCTTGATATTTGGCACAATAGACTGTCATATCATCTAGTTTATTCCCCGCAAAAATTAAGTCAATAGCTCCATCGACTTCCAAGATATCACCTGATATTATCCATGACCACCTACCTAAAACAATGTCCCCCGAATCTCCTCGATTCTCGTTCAAATGTCGGTCTGAGATGAAAACAGCGCCAGATGGTTGTCTGAAATCTTACCATGAAAACTTGTCCGTTCGCTAACTGTCCGTCGTGTTCGTCCGCGCACCCGCTAAACCCTTTGTTGAGGCCGGCCCTCATGTCGTGTCTAACCCACCATGGTACTAAATATCGCACGTTTTAACACTTCGCACGGGTTTTTTGGTGTTGTGAGCTGGATATGGAGGGTGGTGAATGTACATGGAAGAAAGATTTTTAGGGAATTTGCAACTTTTTATATTATCCATGGGGATCAGGTGAATAAGGTCATAAGTTGACCGAAAACGGTCTGATTTCCGTCAGATTTCGCACAGAGATGCTGTATAGAATTTAGACACAGTACCCCAAAGTTAAAAGCTCCATGAACACAATCCACTGAGTTATCGACAGTTTTTTAAAAGTGGGCGGAGCTAAAAAATATGCAAATTTTTTAAAAATTTTTGGTTGCTATGATCGTCAAAATTTGTTAAAAACCCCTCGGGAATCTTTAGTATAACTTTTTTTCTCCAACTTCAGACATTATTTCGCTTTTTTGACGAAATGTCACAGGATTTATTGGAATTTTTTTTTTGTGACATTTCGTCGCAGAGGTAGATTTTGGAACTGCGTATTTTACCATGCACATTCACCACTTCGATGTTGTCGGTTTCTCGATATAGCGACTGATTTTTCGTTTCCAATAACCCGATTTTACCGCTTTCCAGGAGAATCGACAACCCTTTCCGGCCGCCCAAGGCAGCACTTCCAGCTGCGAAACAAAGCGTCTCACAATTCGGCGTGAGCCCAACGTGGGGCTGGGCCTCTCCATTGCGGGTGGAATCGAGTCGACGCCTTATATTGTGAGTTGTCTGGGAAATGCGTCATCATGACGGGATTTGATCCGTGAAAACTTGATTGGCTGAGTTTTTGAAAGATTGGAAATACGATCTAAGGAGTAGTTGTTGTTTTAAAAACTGTTTTAGCTCATTTTTTGGTCGATTTTTGATGAAATTCCAGAAAATCGGTCATCGTGACGTTATTTAAAATTAATCAAATGGAATGCAAATGGCGTGAAAATTAATTGATTAGACTCTTGGATGGTTGTCAAAAAAATTTGTGTCAAAAATACGTCATTTTCTAAATTTGTCTAAAAAATGTGTCATCATGACACATTTTCAAGTCCATATATTTGGAGAAATTTATGCTCATATTAAGTCTATGGCTCGTTGTAGGCTCAAAAATTGTATTTACATCTTGAATGAAAGCAAAATACGTCATAATGACGGATTTTTTGGAAATTTTTTGAAATTGTTATTTTGAAAATTTTGAGGAATTAGTTGAGTTTTAGCCTTGTTGAAATCTTTATAAGCCGACAGACTTACTTTTTCGCCGGTTTTCAGGACAACGACACGGGTCTTTTCGTCTCCAAACTCATTCCGGGTGCGCCCGCCGAGAAGTGCGGGCTTTTGGTGGGCGACAAGTTGTTGGAAATCAACGGGACGAGCATGGTGAACCAACGGCACGATGTGGCCGTCAAATGCGTCCAACAGAACACCAGCGTGGTGGAGCTGGTCATACAGCGGGCGTTGAAGCGGACGCCCAGTCAGACGTCGCTTCATCAACTGCTTTCCGAGGAAAAAGTAAGTGATTTTGTTGATAATAGTCCTGTTTAAATTACTTTTTGTCTTTTAAAGTTTAGCCTGGGGCGGAAGACAGAATGTGAAAGCTTTTGAATTCCTTTTTGAGGCGTTTTTACCCATTTTTTGGACGTTAACATCAAAATTTTGACATGGATAATATAATTAAGTGTCCAAAAAGTTGATTAAAAAAGCTGAAATAATTTTTCTGACACTCTTTTTGCTTAGTTTTGTTATTTAGAGTTAGTTTTGATCGAAAAAACCGTATGAAACAGAATGCCAAAATTGGCGGGAAATTTGAAAATTCAAATATTTTTATCGCAGATAGCCGGAAATGAACTGTAGATGGGTGGAAATAACTTTTGTCAATTTTACAGACAAATTGGAATGTTTTTTGACTAACTTTGGATCTAAAGGACACTTGAAGCAGAATGCCAAAATTGCCGGGGTATCTGAAAATTAAGCCTTGTTTCTGCTCAAAATGCGATCAGAATGTAAAATACGGAGTCGCTTTTTCATCCTCGATGCTCTTTAGCAGTCTAATTCGTCAAAATTAGTCGTTTAAACAGAATGCCAAGATTGGCGGGAAATTTGAAAATTAAGCTTTGTTTTTGTGCAAAATACGATCTGAGAGTAAAATACGGAACCGCTTTTTGACCTTCATTGCTTTAGGAGTCAATTTCATCAAAATTAGTGGTTAAAACAGAATGCCAAAATTGGCGGGAAATTTGAAAATTAAGTTGTATTTTTGTATGAAATTCGATCTTTAGGTAAAATACGGAATTTTACACTTGTGCTTCATTTTTCAAAAATAAAAAAATCACCGTCAGTTTACTCTCTTCCCCCTAAAAATTTCACGTTTTAACAGCTGATTTGAGCTTCCCGAGGGCTTAAATTTCTCGCACATTCTCCCTCCCTCCCCAAACCATATTTTTCGAGACCTAAGCCCTTCAAAGCTAATGTTTATACTCTGGTTTAAACCGCCTTTCCTGTTTAGAATAAACTGTTCAAAGCGCCGGGGATTTCGGACAACGGCGTCACGACCGGCTCCAACACCACCTCCACCACGATTCATTGGGACCCGCGACGCCAGCTGGGCATGTCCATGCTGCACACATATCAAGTGTACCCGAACAAGTCGCCGCTGAGAGTCCAGTACATAACACCGGGCGGGCTGGTGGACCAGGACGGGAAAATCGGCGTGGGCGACGAGATCATCAGCATCAACGGTAAATCTTTGTTGGGCATGGAGTTCGAGAAGGCGCTGGGGATGCTGCAACGGCCGGCCAACGATCGCCCGATCGAGTTGCATCTAGTTGTGCAACGAAATCCCGAACCCTTGAAACCACTCAGGTCGGACCTTCAAAAATCATCGAATTTGTCGACAAATCTGTCAACAACTTTGTCCACGAATACCCCATCAAATTCTGCGTTAAATTCTGCATCGAATAATGTGCTCTCGGCGCCAGCGATCGTTGACGGAACCGTTGAATTTGTCGAGTTGGCGAGGGATGTCAACAATTCCCTAGGCCTGTCGATTGTGGGCGGCGTCGACCACTGTTCCCATCCGTTCGGCATCGACCGACCCGGCGTTTTCATCAGCAAAATCAGCCGCAATTCGGCCGCCGCGCAAACGCAACGCCTCCGCGTGGGCGATCGCATCTTGTCGGTGAACGGCATCGACCTGACCAAGGCCAAGCACGCCGAAGCCGTGCAGACCCTCAAAAACTCGGGCCAGCTCCTCAAACTCGGCGTCTCGCACGACCCCCAGCCTAAGGGCCTCCGCGAAATCACGTTCACGCGCCGCGTCGGCGAACAGATCGGCCTAGCCATCTTCGGCGGCATCAACTGCCCGCCCGCGAACCCCACCGACCCCACCGACGAAGGCATCTTCATCGAGCGCGTGGAGCCGGCCAGCGTGGTCAGCGAGGTGGAGGGCCTGCATCGCGGCGTCCGCATCATCGAAGTCAACGACGAAAGTCTTTTGGGCTGCACCAAAAGCGAGGCCGCCCAGATTCTGCGCAAGACAGAAGGCCGCGTCCGCTTGTTGATCTGCGATGGGTTCAATAGCGGCGAAACGGTGAGAATTTTCGACTGAATGTCATAAACTTTGTGCTAGGACATACAGTAACGGACCTGATCCAGTGGCAAAAAACGTACCATTTTGCATCCGGGAAGTATCAAAAAATGTAGCAAAATACCTCCATTTTCAAGTGAAAAAACTCCGTTTTTGAAGGGCGCCCTCACAAAAAGAACTGACGCGCTTTTGAAATCGGAGTTTTTTCACTTGGAGAAGGAGGTATTTTGCAACATTTTTGATACTTCCCGGATTCAAAATGGTACGTTTTTTGCCACTAGGTCAGGTCCGCCACTGTAGGAGTCTCGCATATGTATAATTACGAACGAACTACTACAGTGGCGGACCTGATCCAATGGCAAAAAATGTACCATTTTTCATCCGGGAAGTATCAAAAACGAAGCAAAATACCTCGATTTTCAAGTGAAAAAACTCCGATTTCAAAAACGCCCGCTCTTTTTGTGAGGGGAAGCCCTTCATAAACGGAGTCTTTTCACTTGGAGAAGGAGGTATTTTGCAAAATTTTTTGATACTTCCCGGATGAAAGATGGTAAATTTTTTGCCACAGGATCAGGTCCGCACTGTCGTAGGGCTTAGCGGAGCATCTGAGTAAGAAAATTGCAAAGAAATTTTTTGGTTTTTAGCTGGAAAATTCAAAAAACTTTTAAGTTATTTTTTAAAATTTCGATTTTTTTGCGGTTTTCGAAGACTTATTTCTCAAAGTTCTAAGCTCAGAAACTTCTCAAATTTCCCACGAATTTTCTGGCTAGTTCACATTTCAATCACAAAAATTTTTAGCCCGCAGTTTTTAGACATAGCCGAGATATTCAACCATCTTGGCATACTTCATATTAAAAAAATTTTTTTCCAAAATTCAAAAATTTTTGCTATGCAGCGGCTCTAGAAATTCACAGCTGGCTGTAAAAAGTATATCACGGACTTTTCAAATCACTTTCACGCACACTTTGTTTTTTTTAGAAGACGCGTGAAATCGTTTCCAATGACTATATTAACATTGAAACTTTGGCTTTATAACAGCTGCAAATGGCTTTTCAAACGGCTTCAATTTGCTTATTAATCTGTTTCCCACAATTCTAATTCCAAAACGGGTCAAAAGGCGAAGAAATTTTTGAATTCGATTTTTCCCGCCAATTTTTGGCATTCCGTTTCAAGGGCTGAAAAAGAAGTTTTTGAGGTCTAAATTATTAGGGGATAGTGTGTAGAGCTTTCTGAAGTAGTTTTTGTACTTAAAACGAGATTTTTAGGGATATTTTTATGTTATACTTGACATCTGCTGATATTTTTGTCAAAAAATCGCAATTTTTCTGTTGTAATGAATCTGAAACCTTTCTCAAATACCTCAGAGAACCCTCTGAATCAATTATTTACAATTTCAAATCCTGAGTTACCACTAAAATACGACTAACACCCAAAATTTTCGCCCAAACTCCCCTCTTCCGCTGACCCCCTCGATTTTCCAGACCCGTGAGCGCGCTGAGTCTTCGTTCGCCTCCTCCTCGATCACTTTGCCCTCCATTTCCGACCATCACACTTCTCTGTCGACCCTTCCCCAGTTCCACGAAACCCCCGCCCATCGCTCCTCGTCCGGCGTCAGCTCGATGGCGTCGGAGCGGCCGAAGGTCCCGGCCCGAAGCCCGGATTCCCGACTCTCCACTCCCTTCAGCGTCACTCCCACACCGACTGTAAGTGAGAGAGAGCACTGCGAGCACGATTTTTTTGAGTTTTTTGCGCTTTTTATATTATACTAGGTCCAAATGTCGAAATTTTTGAGGAAAAGAGGTTTTGGAATTTTCCGATTGTTCTGAAATTTTGAATATTTAATTTTGAGTGCTCTTGAATTTTTTATGGAAATTTTTAGACCGCGTTTTGCAGAATTCACCGAGATATGAGGGGTTGTAGCCGATAAAATCGATTTTTTTCGTTTTTTGGCCAAGTATACCGTATTTTACAATGCGAAAAAAAAGAGAAAAAGGGATTTTCGTTTTTTAGCACCAGTTTTATCAAAGCCTTGCTTGAAACCGAGATTTTTTGATTTTCAAAATGAAAATTTTTTTGATGTTTCTGCATAACGCGGTTTCAAAAATTTCCCAAATTTCTTAGAAAAGTGAATTCTTTAATTAAAATGAGTTTCATAAAATTTGAGACACTTTAGAGCCCTTTGTTTATATTATACTGCACATTAACCAGTTTTTTTCTGAAAAATCTCGATTTTTACCTCTTTTTCCGATTTTTTGCTTTCTTTTTTGCCTGTTATTTGATCTCTGTGAAAAGAAGTTTACATGTATGCTACAAATGTCGTATTTTACCCTTTCAGAACTCCAACGTGACCACTTTTCCCTCCGAAAAACCGCCGAACGGAGAGAGCCCCGAATCTCCGGAGAATGTGAGCTTCGCCTCGAAACTCCAACGCCTCGAAACTGCCTCCAAATTGCACTCGATCTACCCACAACCCTCCGCCCAAAAGATTGGAGGCCACGTGGTTTCGGCGAGCAGTTTGGAGAACAATAATAATATCAAGGAGGAGAGGAAGGATGGGTAAGATTATTGATGAATTGCTCGGAGCTCAAAGCTCGAAATGACTTTAAATTTGGCATAGATACTCTGTATATGCTACAAATCAATCACTGAAAATTTTAGCTTCCATCTTGCAAGGAGCGTCGAGATATTCAACAAAATATTTTTTTATTTGAAAATGAGAAATTTTTCGCGGGATTTTCAAAAAATTTTTTTGAAAATCCGATTTCTTTCAAATTCGTCACAGATACTCTGTATAGGCTACAAATCAATCACTGAAAATTTTAGCTCGCATCTTGCAGGGAGCGTCGAGATATTCAACGATCTTTGCTAACGAGAGACTATGGAAAATGAGGAGAGACGGTTGGGAAAAAAAAAGTTTTTTGGCTATATCTTTGCGAATATAGCAGGAAAAAAATTATTTTTTTTGTGGAAACATTGTGCCCAGTCGAATAGAATTTTTGGTATTATAATCTTAAAAAAATGGTCGATTTTCCCGCAAATATCGACCGATTTTTTCTTTTTTGAGATTTTTTGGAGCAAAAATTCGCATTCTGTTCGAAATGAGGGGTCCAATGTTTCTACTGAAAATTAATTTTTACCTTGAAAAATTCACAAAGATATAGCCAAAAAAAACATTTTTTCTGGACGGTCTCTCCTCATTTTCCATAGTCTCTAGTCCGCAAAGATCGTTGAATATCTCGACTCTCCCTGCCAGATATAAGCTAAAATTTTTAGTGGTTGATTTGTGGCCTAGACAGAGTGTCTGTGACGAATTTGAAGGAAATCGGATTTGCAAAAAAAAATTTTTTTTGAAATTTTCGCCAAAAATTTATCATTTTCAAATAAAACAATATTTTTGAATTTTTTTCACGTCAAAATGATTTTAAAATGCGTGGAAAAAATTTTCATCTTTTTCTCTTTTCAGCCCACTCACCCGAACCATCCCAATCACCATAAAAAACGAGGCCGAACAGCTCAAACTCGATGACAAAAAGTCGAATTTCATCGACAAACAGCCGGACTGGGTGAAAACTCGACTCACCAGCCTGGACAATGAGCCATTACGCGCTGAAATACTCATGAATCGACCAAGACAACAGACGGTAGGTCTCAAAGTAGTGGTTTTTATACTGTGCTGTTTTAGCCCGCCAAAGGCTCGGAGATGGAGAATAAACCGCTGAATTCCAATGGAAATGGGCTGGATTCGAGGCCGAAGGTATGAGTTGTTGGTGTCGTATGTCTTGAAAATAATTAAAACATTATTTGGATATTCAAAATCGATTTTTAAACTTATTTTTGGATACTAAAACGGAATGCCAAAATTGGCGGGTAATTTGAATTTTTGAATTTTCACGGATGAAAAATAAGTCGAACACTTTAGTTCCCGCATTTTACAACGTTTTTTGTTATTTTTAAGCTAAATTTAACTCATTTCCGACCCTTGGAACAGAATGCCAAAATTGGCGGGAAATTTGAAGTTTTTAATTTTCTTGGATGGAAAATCAGTTGGATGCTTAAGTTGTCGTATTTTACAATGTTTTCTGCTATTTTTAAACCAAATTTAATTAATTTCCGACCCTTGAAACAGGATGCCAAAATTGGCGGGAAATTTGAATTTTTTGGATTTTATTTCATTAAACTGAATGTCCAACTATGGAGTTCGTATTTTACAATGCTTTGTATTATTTTTAAACCTATTTCGATTAATTTCCGGCCCTTGAAACAGAATGCCAAGATTGGCGGGAACTTTGAAATTTCAAATTTCATCATTTTTAAGAACGACAATAGGTACACTAACGCGTATTTTACAATCTGAAGTAATTTTTTATTTATTTCCAACCCTAAAACAGAATGCCAAAATTTGCGGGAATTTAAAAAGTTTTAAAATTCCCTTCAAAATTAAAATTATTTTCGAATTCCAGGAGCGCACAGTGGAGATAAAATTCGCGGACGATGGAGATTTGTAGATTCGACGCCCTTGAAGAGTACATACGACGTTGACAACCCCCACCGATGTGCCTTATGAACGCTCAACTCGTGAATTCCCCGTCTTGTCACTTCAAATGCCCTCAGGCATTGTTTTTTCCCCCTAAAATACGACTCTGTCTGTATAAAATTCCTCGCCAATTTCGCTTCCAAATATATTGTACAATCGTATCTTAATTTTTTTTAATTCTCAAATTTCACATCGATTAATTAGCGGACTCGTAAATGACTCTATTAGTGACTTTTTTTTTTGAATTTGTCCCCCGGTATTGTATGCTTGTGTTGTTAATTTATTCCATTTCTTCTTCTGACATCTCCCTTTCTCCTCACATTTCTATATATTATATTGTATATCAGAAGACATTGATTATAAATAAAATCAAAATTTGAATATTTCAATTTGGAATTTCGGGAAGTTTTAATATTCGTGAAAATTGATTTTTCAACAACGACCATTGTAAGCTGCCGTATTTTACATAAAAACCGAGTCATTCGGTTCGGCGACAGAGTCTTTACGGACAACTGAAAGCAAATAAAAACATGTTTGTTCTCCAAATTGACTCATAATTGCCCTATCAATCGACTCTTTTGAATTTTTTACGATGTGATTATAAAGAAATTAGAGGTTGAGAAAGCAAATTATTTTTTTTTATATGAGTGTATTCAATATGTTTTTGAGACGAAGAAGCGTTTTGCATTGTTTTTCTGGCTTGTGGGCTTTCAAATTTTCGTTCGAAGAAAGTCTTGTGTGTTTTAGCATATACAACAAAAGTGCCACTCTCTTGGAACTTTTTTAATGCAGTAAATTATCCGGGGCTGAATTTTGCGTCGATTTCTTTAAAAATTTCAAAACCAAACATTGAGTTTATGAAGTGATCTTGCTGCACTTTTTCATAAATTGACGGATGCCTTGCCTGATTTTTGCTGACAACCACAGTCATGTAACAGTGCATGAACATGACTAACTGATATTTTGGTGGGCAAAAATTTTGCGGAAAACGCAGTAATTATGAGTACATATTATGGTGTGACTATTAAGAAGTAAAAAACACATTACTCCATTACGAAGTCGCTGGAGTGATATCAGCGGTTTGCATTGTGAGAAAACATAAATAAGTTCGCTTTGCACTGTGCAATTTTCGGCTTTTTGCACAGTGCAATAAGATTTTTAGAGGTCTCGCTCTCATGGACGAATGGCCCAGCCCTGAGGATTTTTAGGCCCGGCCCATAAAGAAACCTTTTGTGAATAATTTTGGATGGCAGTTCCTCCGTCGTTTGGCAATATTTCGACATTGTGTTTTTGGCTCATTTTTGGGGTGCGTTATCGTTGCCAGGGATATCACGAGCAGAAAAAAATGTGTTATTTTCGATCCTTGTTGAGCCAGAAATACATCTTGTTGCGTAATGCCAAGAACCCAAAGTTGGCATCCCAATTTTTCGGTTCAATACAATTTTTTCTTTTTTTTTGAAGAAGGTCGGGCCTAAAATTTCCAATCGCTAGTATAATAAACCGGACCCAAAAAATTTGGCCGAGCCCAAAGCCCGGCCCCAGAAAAGGTCGGTGTGGCGCTTTTCGAAATTTAAGCCCTGCTACAGTTGTGGACCTGACAAGCTGCGTTGGGATGTAGCCTGACTACGTCGCTACGCGACTCGTCAGCCTACATTCCCAACGCGGGTGTGCGCGCAAAGCGCCACCAAATTAGCCTAAGCAGCCTAAGCGGCTAAGCAAACTAAGCCTAAGCGACTAAGCCAACTAAGCCTATGCGCTAAGCACCGTGCAGTGCACCTTTTCAACTCACAGTGCAACTTTTCGCCGCACAATGCACTCGCGAGAACCCGGAAAAAATAAAAAAATTTTGAACCCCCGCGAACCTAAGGAATATCGCCCTCGGAAAAATAGTGGGACCCGACAAGCTGCGTTGGGATGTAGCCTGACTACGTCGCTACGCGACTCGTCAGCCTACATTCCCAACGCGGGTGTGCGCGCAAAGCGCCACCTAATTAGCCTAAGCCTAAGCAGCCTAAGCGGCTAAGCAAACTAAGCCTAAGCGCCTAAGCGGCTAAGCAGTCTAAGCAAACTGAGCCTGAGCTAAGCCTAAGCAGCCTAAGCGGCTAAGCAAACTAAGCCTATGCGCTAAGCACCGCGCAGTGCACCTTATCAACTCACAGTGCATCTTTTCACCGCACAGTTCACTCGCGAAAACCCGGAGAAAATAAAAAAACTTCGAACCCGCGCGAACCCAACCGATATCGCCCTCGGAAAAATACTGGGACCCGAAATCGACGAGAAAGCTAAAGAAACTTTTGCTCTCTCACGAAAATGGAAAATCAACTTTTGCCACGCCCCTTTTTCCACGTTGCGACACGGTTTGCACAGTGCAATCTTGCCAAACGAAGCCTTTCCCAATTTGCAGCGTGCGAAATTTGTTGGCGGAGTGTCGCAAAATATTTTGCAGACACTCCCCTTCGAAACCTGAAATTTGGAAAAATTTGCACAGTGCAATCAACAAAAAAGCCTACGTTCGTAGGCTTTTTTTCATTTTGCACAGTGCGAAAAACACCCTCCGAACGTTTTCCCAGGCACCCCCTTTTGATTTTCCCACTTTCCCCCCAGACGCACCGTGCACTCTGCATTTTACCCTGTGAGCTAGGCTTTTTCTCAATTTGCACAGTGCGAATCCCAATTTTGACTTCGTCGCTGCGCGAATTTTGGCTTTGTCGCTGCGCGACAAAGCAAAAATCCGCACAGTGCACCCTTTCGAAAGTGTTTTTGCACAGTGCGGAGGCCCCGCGCTCGGTCCCTTTTTGATTCCGAGAGAACCACCCATGGCGCAGTGGGTAGCGCGGAAGTCTGGCAATCTGAAGTCCCCGGAGGTTCAATCCCCCAGAAAAAAAATTATACCACGTTGTAGTACAATTAGAGGGCCGTCATATTTTGTGTTTTTTACCCAAAAGTTTTGACTTTTTCGGGGTGAAATAATTAATGGAAAATTTGGCCAGAATTAAATTCGGCCAGACCGTATTTTAGAAAAATATGCAGATTTTTACACTTATCCTGATTGAGTTTTCAATTTCCGAATGATTGAGCCAGGTCCCGTCTTCATATCTCTACTCGTTCAAAAGTTACGGTACTTTTTATGTTTACGATGTTACAGTAACCCGGTTTCAAGAAATGGCGGAAACGTGTCAACTAATGTTTTGAAGAGCTATTTAAACTCAGTAGAATGCTTTTTGAGGCGGGTGGATACGATCAAAATTGACCGAGATACTGTAACTTTAAGCCAGACACCTTGTTACAGTAATCCCTCGTGAAGCGACAGACCTGGAACCGTGAAATACACCTTGAAAGACGTGTAATGACGAGTACTACCACTGCTTTGAATTTTGTCCGGCGCGACTGCGTCTACGCTGAGAAAATGGCGAAAAAGCGCCTTACGGCGCAAAAGCTACCGTAACCCGCAGTAAGCCGAAAAAAATCGGCGAGATAGGACGACTGTGATACCACTTCTTATGGTGATTTTTCATGTAGATTCAGAATCTGGCATCAGAATTTGAAATTTCCGTCATCTACACACGTAGCCTGAGGGTTGAGAAAATTGAAAACGTTACAGTAACCGCAGTTTTGAATTTACATGAAAGAATCCAATTAGAAAGTTTAAAAGCGGCAAAAACTACGTCCTATAAAGAAAGAATGGTACTCGGCGCTCGCTTCGCTCGCGAGATCCATTTGCACATGTGCAAATTTTACATCGGAGGTTGTTTGGGAATCCCGGCAACATCTGGGGGTGTAACAATCACTTTATCGTATTTAGGAAAGTATTGCGCAAAATCCCTGCGCGGCGGATTTTTGAATTAGGCCCTCAATTTTGAAATAAAAAATCCGTATTTTAGAATTGAGATCCGGATATATGTGATATGCAAATTTTTGGGCAAAAAAAATGTCAGATTTGGAGTCAGCATGAAAAATGAGTTAGGGTGCATGAAGGAAACGTGTAAATAGCTGGTCGTTTTCATGTCGAATCGTTTTTGACTTTTCGGAACCTTTCAGTCCGGGAGGACGCGAAATGTGGGGACGTTATGCAAATTTCTGAAACTTTCAGAAAATTTATTTGAAGTAATGTGTGACAATCGTGACGTATGCGGAACTTGCAAAATTGCCATAAAAATTCACACTGAAAGCTCAAAAAAGGGGTACTTTTGAAAAAGTCGGTTTTTCGCAATTTTCAAAATGACACGCCAACTATGATGAAAAAACGAACACCATATTCAGGTGTAGAATTCCATTCTACGAATTCTGAAAAAAAAATCGGCAGCGTAGCTCCAAAAAGAAAGGAGAAAACTCGATTTTTCATTACCGACCGGTCGATAACGACAGAGACTAAAAAAATGTCGTTTGGGTATCACAGAGAGACAAAAAAATGACGTATGTAAAAAAAAGTCCAAAAAGTCAACGCTAAGTAAAAAACTCCCTCGGCCCTTATTATAATGGGGTCTGCGGAGCAGGCCGATCCAGTGGCAAAAAATACGGATGTTTTGGCTATCACTTGTTATGTAAAGACTAAAACTATAATCTAGAGTACTTATAGAGCGATTATATTGATATAGAAGTCGAGAAAAATCAAGAAAATTTTAGAAAAATTAAGTTTTTGAAAAAAAAATTATCTGAATTTGATGATTTTTTGGTGGGAAAATGTAAAATACGGTGTGCGGTCTGGCATTATCAACGATTTTCCAGATTTTTTATTTGTAAATGTCAAAAAAAATGCGGCGAAAACGAGATTTTTTGGTTCTCGAGGGGAAATCTGGGCAAAATACGTTGATCCCAGCTGGATGTTTAAATCTAGTGGCTTTAACGAGTGTTTAGACTACCTATAGAGGCTTTCTATTAGCTTATTTTCTGTCTAAAATTATGAAAGTCTCGAAAAGAATTGAATTTTCCCCCAAAAATTAGCCAAATCACAGTGGTGGACCTGATCCAGTG